GTACGCATGAGTCATCGCCTGCGCTTTATTATATAGAGATTATCTGGATTCTAACACCGTTTATCAACCCCATACTATGAATTTCAGATTTGAGAAAGTCGACCAATTGCCTCCTGGATCACCAGTGGATCCCTTCCATCTCTTTGATCGTCTTGTGGGTGGAGTCATTAACCGAATACTATTCTCAATGCCCGCAGATGAGGTAAACCGACTGATCTCAGCGTCTATCTTATCTCAACATTGGGCACTTGTTTCAGGAGGAGGAAATGAAGTTCTACAGATATAAGAAAGAAATGGATGAATTTGTTGAGGACCTGTCTTTTATCGATTCTTTCGCTAGCAAGTGGATGCTAAAAGTTCCTGTATTAAATACAAGATGGAAAAGAATGACTCAACCCGTACTAAATATGAAAGAGTTTATTAGGAAACAGGTTGAGGAAAGGTATTTTCTACTTCGTATTTGAAAGGGCTTTCTCAGTCCGTCTACGAATTTCTTAGATTTATGGCTACCGTATCATTCAAGAATTTTGCAGGAAGCATGCCATAGAAAATGGTAACCACATTATTGATGCTGAGCCCCAGGATTACACTGATGCTTTTATTCAAAAGATGAAAGAAAACGCAAAAGGTGGTGTCACAGATACATCATTCGAGTAAGTTACGTGCCTAAGTAAGTCTGCCTCAATGGATCTCGAGTGATCTAATCACCATTTTCAAACTTACAATGAAGTGTTTTTAGTCGAAGTGGCCCTTTGAATTGAGTTTATGCTATCTGAGGAGCATCAAAAGCTAAATCCAACATGTTTTTGTTATCTGCCAAACTCTTCTGGATCCAGAATCATGAGCATTCTTGAGGTTAGAAGATTGAACGCGCAACAGGAGTAGAATTTTTCGGAGAGCGATCTGATGCTGAATATAGCACTCAGTGCGAAGTATATCTTTTGTCTATTTATTATATACACAACACAGCTTTGAGCACCTCAGGATAAAGCGATTCAGATTATACATAAATTCTGCTTACTTTTTCGATTCAAAAAA